TCCCGCGGCAGCTGATGCGCGCCCCGCCGGCCGGGAGGCGGGAGCCAGAGACCCCCGAGACCCGAGCCGCCCGGCGCCGCGGGCCGGGGCCCTGAGGAGGCCCCAGGAGAGGCATCTTCCCGGCGGGAGTCGCCGGCGCGGAGGTGGCCGCGGCCGCACCGTTCGGAAAGGAGGACGAAGAGGAAGCTGCGCTGCTTGCCGGCGGAGAGGAAGCGCTCCACCCGGGCCCCCGACGGCGCTCGTTTAACCACATCCGTGCCTCCGCTGGAAACGCTTACAGGCGCCTGTCACCCGTTCCCTCCATTTTGAAAGGGAAAAAAGGCTCTCCCCCTTCCCCTACTCTTAGGACCTGGAGCCGGAGGAGCCGCGCTCATGGCGTTCAGCCCTTGGCAGATCCTGTCCCCAGTGCAGTGGGCGAAATGGACCTGGTCCGCGGTGCGCGGCGGGGGCGCCGGAGAGGACGAGGCCGGAGGGCCAGAGGGCGACCCCGAGGAGGAGGACTCGCAAGCCGAGACCAAATCCTTGAGTTTCAGGCAAGTACACGCATCCCTGCCGAGATGCAGACGTGCTGCCATCCATCCATCTGCGGCTCATTCTGTGTGCGTGTGTGTGGTCGCTCACCCGCGTAACCATTATCATCGCAATGCCTCCGTCCCTACCCGAAACCGGGTCCCCGCTGTGCATTCGAAAGTTCAGGATGTTCTGTCTGGTATTACCTTTCCCCCGTTTCAGTATGAGCTTTCAGAACCTAACCCAGGATCTGCAGTCTTTCCGCATCCCGGTCTGCTTCAATCACTTTCCCTTAAGCTTCGAGTCCCTAGCCCCCGCCCCTACACACACACAGTGTCATTGATCACAGCCGGTAGAACTTGGGGCCCTCCCTGTGGGGGAAGAAGTCGCTCCCAGGCCCTCCTGGTGTCCCTCTGTGTACCGAAAATGCAACCTTGGTACAGAAGGTCGCGTGATGACAGGCCCCTGGCAGCTGGTGAGAAATGGTGGTCTTTGCTGAGCTGTCACCGAGTGATTGAGGAAGGCAGGTGACAGTATTCTCAGCTTGGGGCCGAGTGAGTTCCAAACAGGTAGAGGCCTGCCTAAGAAAAAGGAATCATGGCGAGAGCTGACTTAATTTTTAGGAGGAGGGGGCAATCTTAATTTTTAAGCCTATGAAAAACGGTTCTTGTTAGAAAAGGAGTCTGTTGAAAAGCGCTTTGGGGGGGATATCAGAAGAAAGGATGACCTCAAAAATAAATGGTGCTGGAGAAAAGCTCTGGAGGATGGAGGAATATCAGGGAGACAGGATGCCAGGCAGAAGGCCGAGGAGGGCCCAGCGAGAAAACCCCATGGTGAGCTCCCACAGGCCAGTCCTGCTGAGGACTAGTGGGTTGTAAAGTTAGGCAAAAATGCTGGACTTTAGCCTTGTCGATACATAGACTGTAAAAGGTGTCGGAAGTACCGTTGAAAGTGGTAATTCCTCATTTTTCCCCCTTGGCAGCTCGGATTCTGAAGGTAATTTTGAGACCCCTGAAGCTGAAACACCAATCAGATCGCCTCTCAAGGAATCCTGTGATTCATCCCTAGGATTGGCAGGACGGGGGGCCAAAACCCAAGGTAAAGAAAGACTTTCATTTTCTGCCTCTTTTGTTTTAAAGTTTTGAAAATGTAAATGAGGGAAGGAAGAGTGTTAACTTAGGGCCATTTAAAAAGCTTTGGATTGAGTACTTACCAAGAAAGGAGCTGTTTTAAAGCTCCTGGCTTATTTGAACTGTTTTTGTTTGTTTTTTAGGAATGTGGTGGTCAGAGGCTTTCTTCCTAAGTAGTTTGTACATTTGCAGGATGAGATTATCAAACATTCCTGCTGGGCCCTTCCCCTCAGCCCCCCCAAAACAAAAATGTGTGTGGTAATGCAGAGGTGGGGGAGGAATGTTTAAATTTGGCTTTGGATAGTTCTCAGGCTAAGTCACTTTCTCCAGGGGTGTGTGTAGCTGGAGACAAAAATTACAGGTAAGAGTTGATTATTTAGATAGGAAGGAATCTTAAGAAGCTGTTTTAAAATTGTTTACCTCTCCCCTCATCTACATAGGAATGGTGGTGAGCTTCACAGTCTACCTAAGAAAACCTGGCACAGAGATTGTCTCCTAGCCCCCCTCAGAGCTCAACCTTGAGCCTGCCCTTCATCTACAAAAGCTTCTGTTGTTTCATTTAATTAGTAGGAACCTTTTTTGTCACACAGCCAGTTTTGAGTAAAATTTCACCTGTCCTGGTAGAATCTGTTTATCCACGCAATAGAGTGCGCTCTGATTCAGCAGTGAATAAGTCTTGCTCTCACTGAGCTAACATTATGGAGGGAGAGGGATCTTTTAAAGGTTAAGCAGGATACACACGTCAGCTTGTCTTACGTATTATGGAGAAAAATAAAGCCCTGGAAGGAGGAATAGGGTGTGTGGGGTGGGGATAAGAGATGCTGAAGGGTAATTAGGCGGAGCCTTGCCTATAAGGGAACTTGAGCAGAGCCCTGAAGGAAGATTGAGGGAACAGTCTTGCAGATTCTTGGGGAGGGAACCCTTTCAGCAGAGTGAATGGTTATCTGCAAAGGCCTGAAGCAGGACCAGCCTGGGATGGAGTGAGGCCCTGCGGTGGGAGGGTTTTGAGGACCAGTGAAGAGGCCAGTGTGACTTGAGTGGAGTGACTAGGGAGGGAACAGTAGGAGCTGAAGTTAGCCAGATAAAGGGAAGTCTGGAACATTTTGTTAATGGTTTAAAATGACAGAAATGTATTCTCTCACAGATTTGGAGGCTAGAAGTCCGAAATCAAGGTGTCAGCAGAGCCACAGAGCCAAAGGTTCTAGGGACCAATCCTTTCTTGTCTTCTCTAGCTTCTGGTGGTTGCTAGTAATTCTTGGTGTTCCTTGGCTTGTGGCAGCATAACTTCAGTCTCTGCCTCCTTCATTACATGACAGGCTGCTCCCTGTGTCTTTGTGCCTTCACATGACTCTTTTAAGGACACCAGTCAGTGGATATAGGGATCCTTCTAATCCGGTATGACCTCATCTTAACTTGATTACATCTGCAAAGGTATTATTTCCATATAAGGTCACGTTCACACGTATGGGAAGTTAGGAATTCAACATACCTTTTTTTTTTTTTTTTTAAGAGAGAGAGTGCTAGAGGGGGGAAGGGGCAGAGAGAGAGGGAGAGAGAGAATCTTAAGCAGGCTCAACGCCCAGCACAGAGCCCCACACACAGGGCTCTGTCTTGCCACCCTGAGATTATGACCTGAGCTGAAATCAAGAGTTGGACACTTAACCAACTGAGCCACCTAGGCGCCCCTCAGCATATCTTTTTGAGGGACACAGTTTAACCCACAACAGAGGGCTTTGAGCAGAGCCATCATGCTTTGACATCTTTTCTCAAAGGCTACCTGGCTGCTGTCTGGAGAAGGGACTCTCTAGCATGGATGTCCTTTTTGAGTGCTTTTTCTTTTCCAGTGTCTGTCACTGTCACCCTATGATGGCAGATAGAGCCAGCTTTCAGTTATCCTGTTAACTAGTTTTTGACCTGATGATAACTTTTTTCTACTAATAGTTATCGTATTTTTTGGCTTCATAACTTCCTCACAGGTTGCTTGGGGAAGTCAGGTGCTCTGTGATAGACTTCATGAAGGAGCTGGAATTATTGTTCAAATGATTCCAGCTTTTTGAGATTTGATTTTGCTTTGAATCAGGAGCTTCATACTGCACTTCCCCTGCTGAGAATTCGGCCATATTCTCAACCCACCCTGGATTGCTTTTCACCATTGTTTTTGGAAGAGACCCGCATGGGAGCAGGCATGTTATGTATCGGAGCGCTCGGTGTGTCACTTAGCTTTACAGCACAGAAGATAAGATGCACTTGTTCTTCATAACTTCCCTTTTCCTCTCCTAAGATTGGCAGATTAGAAAGGAGATTTGAAACCTGCAAAGAATTATTTTGATGCTTTCCCATCAAATTTAAATAATGCTCACCAGACATGTTAAGTAGCTACTTGAAAGTCTCTTTGAATTGCCCTCAGCTTGGGCAGCCCCTTCCTCACCATTCCATCAGTTGGTAGTCTGATTCATTGCATAGAGGCCTGTATGGCTCAGACCCCCAGAGCCATAGAGACCCAATCGTTTGGTCCTTCCTGTGCCACTGACTCTTTTTTACATGTTTTGATAACTTCTAGCTCACACTCTTTTTCTCACTCTCCCTAAAAGGTTTCTTTTTAGGGTCGCGGACCAGGAAAGCTCTGTGGAGTAGATCATGGTTGAAGGCCATGTCTTTGGCAGGGGATGGGGGGGGTGTACAATCTGGGAAATTACCACTCTGTATTAAGAAATCTTTCAATTTAGGGTCTTTAAATAATAGGATGATTGCATATCAGCCTGGTAGTATCCTGCCTTTGAGAACTCCTGCCCAACATGTAGAAGGAGACTGTTAGTCCAGAGTCTTGTTGATGGCCTTGTTACACATACACAGTATGTATTTAGTACGAAAGCACAGGTCTGACCAGGAAAGGTATCAGTGGACAAAAATTCCTAGAGACTCATTTCATGTTGAAGTCTTAATTTCTGGGCTTGGATGGTCCTCTTTCTCCTGGAATTGTTGATCATTTGGCTCCTGATAAAGTTAGTCTTTCATATTTCTGTGGTTTTAGGACGTGGTGGGGCAGCAGGTAGAGATTATATAAGACTATATCTTCTGGAGGGATGATTTATGAGTTGTTAGTCAGGGGTTGGAGTTAACATATGTAAAAGATCCTGGCTTCCTGGTATATAATGGCCCTCCAATGTATGGGCTGTATCCCATATCCCATACCCATGGCCCCCACCCCAAACTCCATCTAATTCTTAGAACACAGGGAAACATTTGAAGTTAATTTTCCATGTCTATTTGAAGTTAATTTTCTTTTTATTGGAAGTTTTTTTGGGGAACTTACAGTATCTGAACCCTGTAATGCTTCTTTGAGACAGTTATATGCCATCCTAGGAATTAAACGGTAGATGAGGTTGTGGGGATTTTTTAAGCCACAGGTTTCAGACTAACTGCTAAAATAAAACTTGAGCCACAGAGGTTCCTTGAAAATACCAGAGTAGTGGCTGTAATATTTGGGCTGGTAATTCTGTGTTTTCTGTCTGCCTCCCTCAACAAAGAGTGTTTAAGCTCCTGCTGTTACTGTTCTTTCTCTTTGCTGGGGGATGATCAATGAGGAGACACCACCAATGAGAGGACTTTTGAAGAAGGTTCAATTTCAAGTTCATCTTTTTTTTTTTTTTTCTTTTTTGGTGGCCTGTGCATTGTTTTAGACTTTAAAAGTGAATGTCCTCTGCTACTAGAAACCTCCTTACTGCACACATATCTTCATTTAATTCTTGCTGAAACTCTCATACGCCCTTGGAGCAACTCGTTAAATCTACACTGTTTGATGTGTTAATTAGATGCTTCAGTATTTCAAAGACATAGGATAGTCCTTCTGAATAGAAGGAAAGATAAACAGGATCAATCCGCATATATTTACTGCTGGAGGCCTGGGGGGAATGCAGAGTTGTTTGTTGACACCCTTTTGATAGTCTAGATCCGGAATCAGGCTGTGGCTCAGAGACCAGATGTGGCGTGCTGCCTGCTATGGCCGATTATTCTGCCTGGGAGCTAAGAATTATTTTTACATTTTTAAATGGTTGAAAAAAATTGTGCTGTGTGAAAATTATATGAAATTCAAATTTTAGGGCCCATAAATAAAGTGTTGTGGGAATGCAGCCCCACTTGTTCACTTAGGGGTGATATCTAATATGGCTGCTTTCACACTAAATTAGCAAGGTTTTTCTGTTTGTTTTTAAGTGGGCTGCACACCCCCTGTGGGGCTTGAACTCACAACCCTGAGATTCAGAGTCATATGCTCTATCTACTGAGCCAGCCAGACGCCCCTGAAATAGCAAGGCTGAGTACTTGGAACGGAGACTGGCCAGCAAAAACCTAAAATGCTTACTCTTTGGCTCTTGACAAAAATGTTTGCTGATGTAGATACACTTAAGACAATTTTGATAAAAATCAAAAGCTTAAGTAATTTGGGATAACTTTAAAGAAAGCGGCAAGGCTAGCCATGATTAATTAACAATGAAGCGTGAGGCCAGGTAGCATTAGTGTAGGCCTGTATGGTCAGGTAAAGCTTTGGGATAAGACTGGTTTGGGCTGGCTATTTGTCTCCCTTGGAAAACACAAATGTCATTGGTCTGTCGGTGTACCTGATTTTCAGTTAACTAAAAGATCCAAGGAGTTATGAAAAAAGGAAATTAGGGAAGAATGAAGAGAGTTTGGGAATCATTTAATGTAAGTACAAATATATAGACCTTAAACTTTTGCCTATTAACTGTTTTTTAATGGTTTTAATGTAATGGTTTTAATTTCATTTAATGGTTTTAATTGGGTGTTTCAGAATTTATTTGCCGGTTGATGTGGTATATTGTTGGCGTATGTTGTAGGGTTGAAATGGTATATTTATTGGATTGTTTCAGACTGTACGTATGTTAAGACTTAGAATGCAAATCTTGTTAAAATGTAAGCCTTAGGTTTTTGATCCTAAGGCTTTGGGTTATG